TCTGACAAAAAAAAGATGTTTTCTCTATCACAATGTTAATATTCACAATATTCAAGGCCAATGTAACCATGTTGTAAGTAATATACATGATGAATGAAATATGTGTTAAACGTTTTATTCATTGAAGATTATATTTTTGGAAATTATATTACTAATTTAGCACATCATCAAAATAAATTATTTAAGTTCACCATTTTTCACCTATTCGGTACTTATAACTAATTTGATTTATTCATCTTATAAAAGATATTGTCATTTAAAATTTGCTCATGCTCAAGTAACAAAAAATACAGAAATAATATCAATTGAAGAATAAATGTCAGTAAGAAATTAAATAAAATTGGTACCTTAAAATGTGCAAAAGATAAGGTAAAATGCAGAAATAATATCAATTGAGGAATAAATGCCAGTAAGAAATTAAATAAGACTGGTACCTTAAAATGAGCAGGAGATGCAGGATAAGATAAAAGTCAAGATTTTTTCACCTATCGATACTTATAACTAATTTGATTTATTCCTCTTATAAGGGATATTGTCATTTAAAATTTACTCAAGTAACAAAAAAAATGCAGAAATAATATCAATTGAAAAATAAATGTCAGTAAGAAATTAAATAAGATTGGTACCTTAAAATGTGCAGGAGATGCAGGATAAAATAAAATTTAAGATTTTGTTCACCTATCGGTACTTCTAACTAATTTGATTTATTCATCTTATAAAGGATATTGTCATTTAAAATTTTCTCAAGTAAAAAAAATGCAAAAATAATATCAATTGAAGGATAAATGTTAGTAAGAAATTAAATAAAATTGGTACATTAAAATGTGCAGTAAATTTAAGATTTTTTCACCTATTGATACTTATAACTAATTTGATTTATTCATTTTATAAAGGATATTGTCATTTAAAATTTTCTCAAGTAAAAAAAATGCAAAAATAATATCAATTGAAGGATAAATGTTAGTAAGAAATTAAATAAAATTGGTACATTAAAATGTGCAGGAGATACAAGATAAGGTAAAATTCAAGATTTTTTCACCTATCGGTAATTATAAGTAATTTGATTTATCATCTTATAAAAGATATTGTCATTTAAAATTTGCTCAAGTAACAAAAAATGTAAAAATAATATCAATTGAAGAATAAATGTCAGCAAGAAATTAAATAAAATTGGTACATTAAAATGTGCAGGAGATGTAGGATAAGGTAAAATTCAAAAATTTTTCACCTATCCGTACTTATAACTAATTTGATTTATTCATCTCATAAAAGATATTGTCATTTAAAATTTGCTTAAGAACAAAATATGCAGAAATAATATAAATTGAAGAATAAATGTTAGTAAGAAATTAAATAAAATTGATATCTTAAAATGTGCAGGAGATACATAATAAGGTAAAATTCAAGATTTTTTCACCTATCGGTACTTATAACTAATTTGATTTATTCATCTCATAAAAGATATTGTCATTTAAAATTTGCTTAAGAACAAAATATGCAGAAATAATATAAATTGAAGAATAAATGTTAGTAAGAAATTAAATCAAATCGATACCTTAAAATGTGCAGGAGATACGAGATAGGGTAAAATTAGAGATAGTAAGAAATTAAATCAAATCGGTACCTTAAAATGTGCAGGAGATACAAGATAGGGTAAAATTAGAGATTTTTTCACCTATCGGTACTTATAACTAATTTGATTTATTCATTTTATAGAGGATATTGTCATTTAAAATTTTCTCAAGTATCAAAAAATGCAGAAATAATATCAATTGAAGAATAAATGTCAGCAAGAAATTAAATAAAATTGGTACATTAAAATGTGCAGGAGATGTAGGATAAGGTAAAATTCAAAAATTTTTCACCTATCCGTACTTATAACTAATTTGATTTATTCATCTCATAAAAGATATTGTCATTTAAAATTTGCTTAAGAACAAAATATGCATAAAAAATGTAGAAATAATATCAATTGAGGAATAAATGTCAGCAATAAATTAAATAAAATTAATACCTTAAAATGTGCAGGAGATACACGATAAGGTAAAATTCAAGATTTTTTCATCTATCGGTACTTATACCTAATTTGATTTATTCATTTTATAAAGGATATTGTCATTTAAAATTTGCCCAAGTAACAAAAAATGCAGAAATAATATCAATTGAAGAATAAATATTAGTAAGAAATTAAATAAAATTGGTACATTAAAATGTGCAAGAGATACATGATAAGGTAAAATTCAAGATTTTTTCACATATTGGTACTTAAAACTAATTTGATTTATTCATCTTATAAGGGATATTGTCATTTAAAATTTGCTCAAGTAACAAAAAATGCAGAAATAATATCTATTGAAGAATAAATGTCAGTATGAAATTAAATCAAATTGGTTTCTTAAAATGTGCAGGAGATACAAGATAGAGTAAAATTCGAGATATTTTCACCAATTCAATGCTTATAACTAATTTGATTTATTAATCTTATAAAGGACATTACCATTTAAAATTTGCTCAAGTAACAAAAAAATACAGAAACAATATCAATTGAAGAATAAATGTCAGTACAAAATTAAATCAAATTGGTATCTTAAAATGTGCTGCGGATACAGGATAGGGTAAATTTTGATTTTTTTTGCATAGATTGGTTAAGATGTATGATGTCACTTGTGACATTTTAGAAAAAAATATTAAGAAAATAAATTAATAAGTAAAAGAAGTGAAGCGAATACACCTTATAATGTACGACCTCATTCGATATTATTTTCATTTTCCACCAATATAAAAAATTTCAAAAAATTACTTAACATCTTCAATGTAATTCATTTGATATCAACAACACAATGTCTTCTTTAAAACAAAAAAATAAATTTGATGATATTCTCTTTTTTAGAGGGTTAACTTATTCTATAAAAAAATACGATATGTATTCCAGATAGAAATGACCTTTACTCTAGAGATCAATGACACTGTTTTAAATAATCTTATCACAATAAAATATCATTATTAAATTTATATTTTTATAACAAACATAGATAAACGACTATAAGAGATAAACACAAAGTTTAAAGAACACATTACATAATTATTATTTTTTAATTTTATATTGAATCTTAAAGATGGGTATTGATCATTCAAAATTAAAAATATTTATTCTCTTACAAATAAGTTTTATCTTAAAAACTTCATAGATATATAAAAATTATATTTAAAAATTAAAATAAAATATTTTTAAATTGAAGCTTAATAGAATCAAAATTTTCAGAATTTTTTTTTATTTTTTTAATTTATGTCAAATGTTTGTTAAGATAAAAAAATGATCTTTTATAATATTATTGATCGTTTAATTAGATTAATTTTGACCATGTAAGCTTTGACAACAATTAAATGTGCATTTTCAATTATGACAATTATTAAGACAATTTTATGAAATTAAATGAAATGCGATTTTGTTGTCTTTTCATTGAAAAATATATTGAAGACAATACTAAAATAAATTTGTGTAGCATAAATTCTTGATGATTTCAATACAATGAAGAATCATTTGAAATAATTTAAGATGCATCTTCGTAATGAGTAGACTAAAAAAGAAATATATATATATATATATAGAAAGGATAGTTGTTTGCGAACAGTTCATGTTTGGCTCGTCACAAAGCTCGTATTTGGCTCGTTTGCAAAATTAACGAGCTGAACACGAACAAAGATTTTTTCGTTCGTGTTCGGCTCGTTTTGGCTCGGAATACTACTCCTCCATCATATACATACATTGATGAGTAGTATTTTTAAAAAAAATAATTGACTAAAAGGCTACAAAGATTTATAATCAGTTAAAATTGTTAATTAATAAAATAGAATAAAAATTATTAAATTAGATTCAAATGATATTTTCATACAAATAATAATTTTTAAATTTTCTTCCAATCTTTAATATCTTACGACTACGTGATTAGAGTTGTCAAAAAATTTTTTTGTTCGTGAACGTCTCGTCTTTTGAGCTTGAAAGATAAAATATCTGAACACGTATGTCAATTGTCAATATGCAAATCATGATCGTGGATTAAAATGACTCGTTGTTCGCGAACAGCTCTTTTGGCTCGTTTGCAAAGTTAACGAGCTGAACACGAACAAAAATTTTTTCGTTCGTGTTCGGCTCGTTTTGGCTCCAAATACTACTCCTCAATTATAACATTGATGAGTAGTATTTTTAAAAAAATTAATTGACTAAAAGGCTACAAAGATTTATAATCAGTTAAAATTGTTAATTAATAAAATAGAATAAAAATTATTAAATTAGATTCAAATGATATTTTTATATAAATAATAATTTTTAAATTTTCTTCAAATTTTTAATATCTTACGGTGTCAAAAGAATTTTTTGTTCGTGAACGACTCGTCTTTTGAGCTTGAAAGATAAAGTATCTGAACAGGTATGTCAATTGTCAATATGCAAATCATGATCGTGGCTCTTAATCTTTTTTATTATTTTCTTCCAACAATCGTACTAATAAATTTTAAACAAAGCGTGGTGGCCACTTGCCGGTTATTTAACCGAAGTCGAAGTCCACGTGGCGCATCTGCGCGCGTTGCGCGCTTTATATGACGGTACCTTTTGGCGTCCTGCCACGTGTCGTTCCGGGATTTGTCCTGCGAAATCCCTCGTCGTGCAATGTGATAACCCTATCACCTCCTGCTACCACCCGCTAAGAAAACCACTATAGAGCACTAAGAGACACGAGAAGGAAAGATGGTTTAGCAGGAGAGAATGGCATGGCAGAGTAGAGACGTGTTCATGTGCTATTGCTCTTCTAATGGGCGACAATTCTTTATTGTTTGTTTGGCTGAAAGATAAACAGCTTGCAGAAGCTCTGTTTTGATCCAGAGCTGCTGTAATGGCAGTCGCTCACTTGCGCGTTGTTATGCCGATGGAGTTCTCAACCAGTGTTGGTTTCTCGGATGTGTTAAGGGAAGGAAGAGGTCGGCTGCT